TAATCAATCAAAGCAAACGGTCGTTGTAAAATCTTGTTAAACATTAATATTAATAAATAGTTACTGTATAGTTTCTTGTTAAATCTCGTAATATATTTATTTAAAGGTATAAACCTCCATAAAATTGGCTTTCCGCGCCCACAAATTGAACAAATTTTCATTTAGAAAAATATTAAATATTAATTTAACTTGTAAACTTTTACAATGGCATTTGTTTGATCATACCTTCAGTTTTCCTCCTTCATAAATAATAAATCATAATTATAAGACAATTGACTTCTTTTTGAGATTTTATTTTAGAGAAATACACAGTATTACATACATATGAATAATTTAGATGAAAAAAATACTAATTTTTAGACTTTGAACGTTTCCTGATTAAAAATAGATTAATAGATCAGCCATAATATAAAATATAAATGCAAATTCTTCATGTGGAATTTTAAAATTAATCGTATAGCAACAGCATCAATTCAGGCAATTGATGCAACAATTATTAATAACCAATTATTTAACAACAAAACAGCACGCAGAAGTACATGGGACTTACCTTAGATTCTGCAAGATTGAATGTTTATAAATATATCATTAAAAGTAATTCATTAATCTTTATTGATTCATTACAAAATACCTACCTAATAAAGTACATACCCAGAGTACATCAGATTAAAGCCAAAATACCTACCTAATAAAGTACATACCCAGAGTACATCAGATTGAATTATTACTAAATTACAATCTACAAGTATAAACTGCTGAACTTTTAACAAATACATAACAAACTCTTTCAATTTCTATATCTTATTTTTCAATCTCCTCCAACTAAGATACAGCTCCAGATATTTTATCAATTAACGCTCCAACAATCGATCGACTTTGTTAATCGCAACTCTGCAATAATTAATAAGTAATTAGTAATTAAAATTGACAAAGCAATTAATACCGATAAGTAACTAATAATTGAAATTCGATTATACTGTACAGTAAAAATCAAGAGCAATAATTCCTCATGTGAGCCCAGTTAAAGAAAATCGAAACAAAGTCGTACAATCTCAGTTTGCAGTCGAGTGCATCTTGCAACCCGTTCGCGAACGCCTCCTCAGTTACATCGTGCACAGAATCGTGACTGAATGAACCAGTAACTATTTTTGTTCCTATAATCTTTATTTCGCGATCGTCGATGCAAATACATTCGTTTCCTTACTTTCTGTTGTAGCATCGATTCGCTGAAACAGATTGCAATTGTAAACGTAAGAACAAAGGGAACAAAGTTAAAGTTAATGATCGGTCAACGTGAGATGATCGATCCGTCGGACAATCCATTCTAACTGCGACGAAATAAATCTTTATTATTATCCATCTACTTTATCCGGAAACTTGGCGAGTCATAATCTACGGTAATGACATTTATGTCATATGCGACATATACTCTACGTTTCACCTGCTAAACGTTCGCTCAAGGTCTCCGTATTAATACGCATGCATCTCGAGGCAACTTCATCCAATGCGCCTACGCGTCTCATCGACGGTCACACGACATCTTCTCATACAGTTTTCTGAAGAATATCTCGTGCACCAAGCCTGGTCGTTCGATCGACACACTTGTTTTATTTACGCTGGACTGGACCATTTTCGTTAGTCTTCTCTCTTCCTCTCTGTTTCTCCTTGTCTCCCTCTCTCAATGATACATGTAAGTCTCCCTACTACGATTCTCCGATTCTCACACGTTAACTTCCATCTCGTTCCGCGTTACGCGCAATACAAACCGTTGTTTTATCTCACGAGCCTTTCTTTAGTTATACTCGCGAGCCATAGACGTGTACAGTTCTTCGTCCTGTTCGTAATTCTCGTCGATTTGGCAATAGTAGGTTAGATTGACATCGCGCTGGCAAGGTACGCGTGCGTCGCAATAAAATCTTTTTTCACGAGCGAGTACAACTTTCACCAGTATTGTCACTTTAAACGGTCCACTTTAACGAATGCTTTCTTATATTATTTTATCAACTGTATTTCTGACGAGGTTCATGGTATTTTTTGTGTATATGGATGTAGTTAGGTGCATCCTTTGAGCTTAAGTTTGTGTGGAATTTATGTCTGTTTTGTTTTACAGAATGTCATTGTGTCAATGAAATAGAAGACTCCAGAGCTGTGTGTAAACTTTCAACTTTAATTAGATATTAGACGAGATTGTAATATTGATAAAATGATGGACACCGATCCGCCACAGTTTATGTCAAAAGATGATGAAGTTCGATATTGGATGGAACTTGCTCATCAGATACATAGGAGGTGAATTATTTTTGCATTTCTGCATTCTTCAAATGTAGTTTATTATTTTATACTTGTGAAATATTCTTAACTATATATGCGCATATGAGTCACTGAGAAACTATATTGATCAACTCCATAAATTGAGAAATATAAAAAGATCATATTTGTTATTCTCTATAATCTGTTTATAACGAATAAACTTGTAGATATAAATCTTGTTTTTGGAGAAGTTGTACAATTGTTGTGAAATTAATAAAAAGTGATTTAGTTTAGCTTGTTAAAGATTCATCGTTAAATTCTGTTATAACATTGCAGAAAAGAGGACATAGAAAGGGAGTTAGAGGAATTTCAAGAAAATTCGCAGCTATTAGAAAAAGAATTGGAAGCATCCTTAGAACAGGCAGAGAAGAATAACAGAGAACTGCGCCAACGAAATACAAGACTAGCCACTGAAGTTGAACAATTAAGAACTAGATTGGATCAACAAACAGCAGACTGTGCAATGTTTCAAGGGAAAGCTCAGGACTTACAGACGCAACATGATCATTTATTAAAGTATATAAGGGAATTAGAACAAAAAAATGACGACTTGGAAAGAGCTCATAGGTATTTGAAAATTGCATTGTTATTCTAATATCTACTAAGTAAATGTGGAGTATTTAATATAACATGTTTCTGATCTATTTTGATTTTGCAGAATAAATAGGGTAACAGAAGAAGAGATAGAAGCCAAACTTAATTCTGCCATTGAAAAGAATGCTTTGTTAGAATCAGAACTTGATGAAAAGGAAGCTCTAAAAGTTATAGTACAGAGACTGATGGATGAAATTAGAGGTCGAACAATTAATTGGCAAATCTTCGATAACTAATGACTAAAACTTTTGCTAACAATTTGTTTATTACAGATTTAAAACAGGAAATCCAAGTTCAAGAAAGGCATCAACCAGATAATGATAAGTCAGCTGATAGAGTTCGTAATCACGTTGATAGTAATAAACTTCAAGTCGAATTGGAAACACACATGTCGCCTAGTAACCCAATAGTACCACAATCCATATCTCCAAATAATACAACAACTTCACCATTAAAAAGTAAGATCCATAATACTCTTCGTAAAACTAAGCGCATGTTTTGCTTTGGACCTAAAAGATGATCCTTATCATTATTAAAAATAATAATCAATATACAGAATACTTGTGTCTAACATGTCGAATGGATAAGAATGGATATAGATGAAAAGTTTTAACCCAATTAACTTTTCAATTTAATGTATATTTTTTGTATATCATCTGACATTTTTTTCTTTTATAATGAATGAATTTGCTTATTTTCTGGTATTGAGGCTGACTAAACAAAAGTTGGTCTAACATTTGTGCTTGATTAATATACCTTTATATGCTTTAATTAATTTTATCTTTCTGTATATATACCTATATATATTGTCATCAATGAAATAAAAATTATTTTAACAAACTTGTTCTTTATTTTAGTTTCTGGATATACTTTCAAATACATTTTTTTCTTTCTTTTTTTTTCCTTTTTTTCTATTGAATTATCATTGTGTAATATTTTTATTTCTTATCTTGATATCTTATCATTATATCTATGTAGTAATTTGTATCTTCTTTCCTGTTTACAATTAGTTGGAAACAGAGTTGTAACTGGAAACAACAATAATAATAATAACAATAACGTGAATCCACCATTGACACCATGCACAAGAATATTAGCGATGAACATGATTGGTGATCTTATGAGGAAAGTTGGTGTAAGTATAATTATTATCTTTCATAGATATGTAGTTCTTTTGTTTTAAAAGAACATTTGATGTACAAAGATAGCTTCAAGCATGGCTTGTGTATTTTTGAGTTTTAAAAATTATATTCAGTTGTCATAAATATTGGATTAGCAACTGTTCTAATTTATATGCTTTATTTCTCTTGATTTTATTTAAGCATCGATTTATTATATCTTTATATTTATTTTATCTGACATACTTTCATTACAAAGTAATTTGAGCAAAATAATTTATGTGATTTAGTTCATCTAAGACTTTTTAATCTGTCATATAAGACCGTCATATAAGACTTTTAATCAGTTGATGATACTGGTAGTGTGATGTAGTTGGTGTTTTGGTAGCTTGACAGGTGGGTCTGCATGGACTGTAGGAAGGTAAAATGCACTTGTCTTGGTGGGAAAAATACAATTTCCACTACACCTACTGATTTACCATCCGTCCAGGTTCACATACCTACTCATTGTGTACGGCAACAACCTAGATCAACCAAGTGCTGATCAAGCTTTTTGTGTACAGGTCTTTATTTGATTTCTTTTGCTTTCTTTTGTATATTTTTTTCTGTACACATCACACATGATTCCTTGCCTCCCGCTTTAATTGTCCTCCATATAATAGGCATCACCAACTTTGAAAATTAGCCCTTAATATTCAAAATAAGGGCGAACAACAATATTATTTTTAAGGGAAATGATAGTATCTCATTTAATAATAAATATTTGATCATGTAGGCATTGGAGAATAAGTTAAACACATGTCAAACTTCATCTCGAGAGGATCAAGCTGTTCGTGATCTTTACAGGTAATATTAGAACAATATTATAATTTAAAATGTCATTATTTTTATATCGTTATGCAATGTGTGTATTTGTAGCAAAGAAATATCGTGTATCAAATATTTGAAAATGAACATTGAAAGAAATTAATAAAATTCTCTCAATGAACAATTTTCTTCAATAAAAGAACTAGATGACATTGCTTGAAATGATACATGATAATCGTACTAAATTATTTGTACTTAATAGTTTTATATCTACTTTTAGTTACGTAGTGCTTCCTGTGAACATTAAATTTACGAATTTATAAATAAAGATAGCTTTTCATGGTTCCAGTTCACTAGCTTTTTAATTGTTAAAAATGTATTTAAAAAGACTGCAGCACATTATGTTACTAATTGAAATGGAGCATTTTGTTTTTTTTGTTTATGTGTAAATTGTTTTATATGTTTTAATTATTAGTAATATTCTCAGACAAAGCGATCAAAATTAATTATAAAGTAAATATTAGAAAGTAAGTTAAATTTCAAGCATTTATATGTTTGATAACTCTTTTTAGTTTTATAACTTAACGTTATTGTTTACTGTATGTTAATTTAAATGTATGTTTTATGTAGCAAGCTTACAATTAGCTGTGTAGCTTTGTTTTGTGATTCAAAGAGTACAATATACTTTTATTGTAATCTGTTAAGATCTTAATAATCTGAGTTTTAAAAAAAGAAGTGTTGTTTAATTCTATATATTTTTTTAAAAACTAAAATTATGAAAAATTTCATTATTCCATGATTATTAAGATTCTTAATAAATCAGATTAATGTTTACATCAAATAGTTAAATGTATGTATTAAATGTATGTAGAATATACTGTTATTAGTATGATATGAAAAGCCAATAGAAGCATTTGCTGTTGTACACATACATGTTGTAGATATACCAAAAATTTTTAAAAAAGGACCAAAATTTTCGAGTCAATTACATTACGAAACTTGGCTTCCAGAATTATAGACTTTATAAAAAATTGAAATTGAATATAAAATTTAGTAAAGGAAACTTTTATTACAAAAATAATTTAAGTATACTTAATATCACTAAAAGTTTTTTTATACATTGGATTGAGCCAATAGGTGAAAAAAATGTTTCCAATTAGACATTATTAAAGTTTATATATCATCAATACAATAATAAATTAAGAAATTTCAACATTTGTATATTTGTATATAATGATTGTGTATATTATTAAAAGTAAATGAAATTGAAAAATTTTTTTAGATTTTAAAATGCAAAGTATATAATATTGATTGTAATGAATTAATTCATTATTCAAAAAAATCTTGAAGACCATTAAAAATGAAATTGTGTTGTGTATAAAAAAAATATTCATAGCTCAATCTAATTCCATATTAATGTTGCATTAAAATAATACTCTTTGAGAATTCAGTTTTAAGATTAATATTCATGACTTTTTTTTGTAATATGAAAAAAGAAATGTCAATTAACAAACTTCTTCTACACAGGGATTCATCATTAATCGCAGTTTTAATTTTTCCCTGTTTCTCTGCATGATGTGTTACTTTCTTGTATCTTGTTAGTAATGTTCACATAGTATATAAATAAAATTTCTCAGAGTATTTTTCATATCAAACTGTTGGACATATATTAAATCTGCACATTATAGAATTTTCGTCTTGTTTTGTTTCGTTTAAATCATACATTAACACCAAATGTCAAAAAAAGCGAACATCATTGAATTGTAATTCAAAGTATTTTTCATATCTATATTGTGCAATTCATAAACATGTGCAGCATTTCTCAATCCTTTCTGTTTCTACTCTCACAACTAGTTATATAATTTAATTTATTACACGAAACTAAATTTAAATAAACAAATAATATTCCAGAAATAATTAAGTATTTTTTATTAAGATTGGGAAACGCTGATTTGAATAGATATATTTGTAACACTAAATTTTTTTAACTTAGGACTAGACGACAAGTTCGAGGTTTTGCCTCTGGCAACAGCAATCACATTCGATTATAAACAAGGGATAATATTCCAATAATAAATTTTTTGCATTGTATTCATATGACTACTAATTTATGTTATTTTAATTAACAAAAATCTCACGTACTAATTTATTATAAATCTCTGTAAGATACGAACAGGATTATTTAATGTAATTTAATTATTTAATTATCTTTTACATCAAGTTCGCAATTTTTTAGTCATTATTTGTCTCTTTTTTATCATAATTCAAAAATATACTTGGGTAATATTTTATGGAGGAAATTTGTAAATAAATAATCGAAATTGTAAGTATCAATACCATAATTTAATAAATGATTTAATAAAATTCATCATTGTGATAAGTGATAATTATAGATAATTGTGTAGGTATTTAGAAATGATATTAAGGGAAGACATCAGTTATCTTTCAGATAAATTTTTGCAAATACAAATATTTTTGCATGCTATTCTTTAGATTTTATTTAAATCACATAAGACTTCATCTTATAGTTAATTAATTTTGCAATTTAAAAATTTATTTTATTAAAAATAATTATTACGTTGTAAAATTCAAATCCTTTATCTTTCCATTACTTCACAAAAAAATTCATGTTTTTTCAATTCCTTATTCTTACATCTGAGTATCTGTTTCTTACGAGAATATTGAAATTTACTAATCATAATTTTCTTTAGTGTAATATCTTGTTTGTCCCAAAAAAATATCTTGATTACTAAAGAGGAATGTGTATTTATAAAATTTTATCCAAAAAGTAACTGATAGTTCAATTTTGCCTAAGTATCTTCCCTTAAATAATTTGTGAGCTTTAGTTTTGAATATATAATTTCTAGCATGATTAAAACTTCAGCTACGTTAGAAATGATATTGCAACAATAATATTGTAGTGCAAAATTTAATTTTTATAGGAAATTAGGTAATTATATATGTAAATATATATATTTAGATACTTATATATATATATCTATTTTTTAATAATAAAAGAATATCCGCTTATGTCATAAAATAATTCAATTTTATACTTTAAAATGTGTAAAAGCTATTTCATTATTTATTTCTATATAAATTATGTGCTTTAAGCTGTATAATCATAAATAATTTCAAATTTGAGATATTTACATAAAGTAGAATCATGCTAATACAACCAAAAATTGAAATATATTCAATTATAATATTGGAACATTATTAATTTATAAATTCCGCTTAACGTACAAAATAGAAATAGAAAATTATATTTAAACGTAATAAATATTACCGATTTGTACAAATTAACTGTGAACTGTACTTTGAAATGAAAAATTAGAAGAAATTATGCAATATTTGTAACATAAATTTGTAAAAGTATAAAATGAACTATTTGTAAAATAAAAATATTGTAAACTATTTCTCAATTACTGTAGAATTAAAATTCCTAGAACCTAATTCATCTGATGTGTATTTCTCGAAGATAAAAAAAAAAAAAGGTAAGTTAGTATTATTTTGAAGATTTATTTATGAAACGTTTATCTTTACACGAACAATGAATAGTTGACTGATTGAAATACCTTATGTAATTTTCATACAACCAGGGATCTAAAATGGTAAACACTACATTGAATTCCTACAAAGAAACTGCCTTATTCTCTAATGCACATTTCACTATGTATTTATACCAATAATGATAATGACGACGAATATAATAAAACTGTAATGAAAAACTTTTTTGAGAACATGTCTAAGTTTATACTCAATCTTAAGAGTACTTTTAGAAGAATTAACAATTTGATTTGTTTTTTTATCACGATCATTTGCTTTTCAGTTTTAAACTTTTTTTTCTGTTTTTTAGAAGTATCCTTACGTTGTAGAGCATAAAATGAAAAACAAAAAAATATGAATGAAATTGAAGAATTAACATTTGTAATCGATAATTTTTCGAAAAAACAACATACGTTTCTACGTTTGTACAATAATACCAAAAGTTGGGAACTACCTACATATTAAAAACAGTTTATACCAATTTTCGTATCTACTTTTTCAGAAATCTGAATTTTAGATACGCATTATAAAGGATGATCATATTATAACTTGTACACTATTATGGAGTACAACATAATACGTAGCTTGGAATGAAAATGTTTCATCCACGACTGTTACGAATGATAATAATAATAGTAGTAAATGGTATGTATGGGAGTTACATATTATTTAAGCACGCTCGCCACGAATTCGTCGGGCCAGCTGGATATCCTTGGGCATGATTGTTACACGCTTCGCATGGATGGCGCACAAATTTGTGTCCTCAAACAAACCGACCAAATACGCTTCTGATGCTTCCTGCAAAGCTCCGATTGCAGCACTTTGAAAACGTAGATCAGTTTTGAAATCCTGTGCGATTTCACGAACCAATCTTTGGAAAGGTAATTTTCTAATCAACAACTCAGTTGACTTTTGGTATCTTCTAATTTCTCGAAGAGCTACTGTACCAGGTCTAAAAATTATAATTATAATTGTGTATATATATATATATATATAATATTTAATGTTTATACATATGTTTAAAGCATAATCTAATATTTAGGAGATACCTGTATCGATGTGGTTTTTTTACACCACCAGTGGATGGTGCACTTTTACGTGCTGCCTTTGTAGCTAACTGTTTACGAGGTGCTTTACCTCCAGTTGATTTACGAGCTGTCTGCTTAGTACGTGCCATTTTTCACTCTGAAATAATATAAACTTGGTTAGAAAAAAGAATTCTAATCATATAATGTTTTTACACCAAATCAGAAAATTTTAATTGACCGTACTGAAATGTGGAAAAAATTCTACGATTCCCATTGTTCACTAATTTTCATAAAAAATTCATAAATTCTAAAGACACTTATTACTTGATGTAATTAAATTTCAGATCCACATAAATATACGACCAAATATTATTATACAAACTCATAAAGTTCACTAATAACATAAATTGAAACTTTTTCTTTGACCTTGTGATAAATGATAACAAAATTAATCAATCGATATAAAATAATACTTTTTTCCGAGACTGCTAAGACAATTATATTATGAGTTAAAATATATGGGTACCATGTGGATACCAAGCAAATCACTAAGATACATTGCAAATCGATTTAGAGTATGTTGCAAAACAACTAAAAAGTAACATCCGTAGGTAGCTATGGGAATCGGACAATTAAAAGATACGTTTGATAATAACAGAGGTAAACTAAGCTTTGGAGTGGGACGATCAAAAGATGGTGGGGTAACAATGAGTGGGGGTATGTTCCGTTGCTGTTCGTACAGAGGAACCGCGCACCAAGGAACGCTGCGCATTGCGCAATGTACAAACTTTCGTTCCTCTCGCATCGATGCGACTAAAATCCATGCTAGCCAGAAAAATGTACTATCTGAACAGTCAGCTATGTCCCTCGTCCTCTGTTCATTTCCACGACGAACATTATCACTGTTCGTGAAATAAAATGAGGCAAGTAACAGCGAACCGAAAGCGGAACGAAAGCGTCGCTCGTGAGAAAGGCTCACGAAACAGTTCCCTCCACGGAACGTCAATTGCAAAATGGAGGCAATACGACAGTACGTCGCGTTCCGAGACAAAAACTCGGATTTTCCAGCATTCTTTATATCTCCTGACACACGCTGTTACGCTTGCACACTCCCCAACACCGGTAATCACACGCGCCCGTGAATGAAGCGAATTTCTGACAGATTTACATACCAATCAACGAAAATATTCTACGAGAAGCGGGAGTTAGCACTATCCGTTTCCTTGTACTTCGATGGCAGTGGACGCTCTCCCAAGTCACGACTCCCTTGTCCCTACCCCCTAGAAATTAAATTGCGAGAGGCACGTAAGCCCGCGGTGCACTGCATCCAATCGGATGTCGGATAGCGGCTGAGCTTCATAGTGTAACACATGCGATTGGCTCAGCCTCCTACACCTAGAGTGCGAACCGTGAAGAACCCTGTCAATTGTAATATATATGATACTGCTTGTAGCAGCAACCTCGTTTTTAACAAACAATTGTCATCCCGTTCTACGTGCAACTTGAGCAAATTGATGTTTTTTCTTTCTAGGCAAGATTTCCTACAGAGAATCACAGGAGATATTGCAAAGCATTAATCCACGTCTGATGAACAGACCTGGTAGAAACTGGGTTGAAATTTATAGAGCGGAGCGCACGTTTTGCAAGTTTTGTCCTGTAATTCTAGCTGCAATGAAATCGTGATCATTTCGTGGAAATCTCCAGAAAGACATGGAAATTTTATGAGACATACGAGAAGGACACGTCATCCCAATATTCGAACAATTGTTAAGACAGCAATTTTTGACGATTCTTGGGAATAAATATACTTAGAATCGACGTTGTACAACTTCTGGATGTTAGAGTTTCTTCTACGTTTTCTGTTCGGAAAAAAATAGACGCCATTGCGTGTTTAAACGTAAATGTTAGAAGGATGTCGAGTTAGCAAAATTATTGAATTTTGGCGCTTTTGTCAATTGAACTTTACGGCGGACATTGTATTATGCTGAATTTGATTGGATAAATTTTTTCATTTTAGATTTAGCACTTTGATTTAAATTATATTCGCATTTAATACAAAAAGAAAATATAAATTAGATATAAATTGTCATTAATAACATTCAACGAATTTTTGGTATTAAATGTTTCATCATATAGTTATAAAACATTTGTTAATATTTAAAAAAAACAATAAAATAAAAAACCGTAAAATAATATATTTATGACACAATCCTTGTAATTACTGATTGTATCAATATTGCATGTTCAATAATTATAACAATGATAATACAAAAAATTTATATTTACAAACTTATTGAAAAAATTTTTTAACAAGATAATTTTTCAGTACAAATTTCAATATTAAATAAAAACGACAATATATGTATTTAAAAAATAAATATAGAGCTCAATTCTTTAGGAAGACAATGCAAGTTAAATTTATTAAAAAATTTTATGAATCATTTACATTAATTTAGAATGTTATGAATTGTTTTTTTTTATTACTATTATTACAATTATTAATAATAATAATGTAATTAATAACGAATTTTAATGTAGAATATTTTGTAAAAAATTAAATATATACATGCAAATCAATTTTGATAATCTAATTTTGCAAATACAACATAAATTATAACATTTTTCATTCATTTTTCCTCCTTTCCGTAAAACGCTACTACGTTTATATTTACTTGCTTAAAAGGGTTATCTTATACATTATAAATTTAATCTAATCTATGATCTAATTTGACAGCAACATAGAAAACTGTATTTGAAAAGTGTGTTAATCACGAATAGCAAACATAAGTAATTTTTCCGGTAAAATATTATGTCTACATATATTATATTGCTTATACATGGCTTACATTACTTATAATTGTACATAATAATAAAATATGAATTATGCAAAGTGCTATTACTATTCGTCACAAACTACTTACTTCGCATCGTGCTCTCTGCATATTTGTCTATACTTAAATTATAAACATCTCCGACTAAACTATTTGATATGATGGTTAGATATATTTTGTCTCTGCATTCTAGAATTTGGCAGTGTAATTACCTATGGTAATGGCTTATGAAAAAACTAAGTCACAATGAATTTGATTGTAATAGATTTGAATTTGATTCAAGAATGTAAAAATAACATGAAGTTGAGAAAAGAAAGAATCCAAAGAATCTGCGACATGAAGTGTTTAAGCGCGTTCGCCGCGAATTCGTCTTGCTAATTGAATATCTTTAGGCATTATTGTGACGCGTTTGGCGTGAATTGCACACAGATTTGTGTCTTCGAACAATCCGACCAAATATGCTTCGGAAGCTTCTTGCAATGCTCCAATTGCAGCGCTTTGAAATCGCAGGTCAGTCTTGAAATCCTGTGCAATTTCACGAACTAGACGTTGGAATGGTAATTTTCTGATAAGCAACTCGGTCGATTTCTGGTATCTCCTGATTTCTCTAAGTGCTACAGTACCAGGCCTAATAAACAAAATACATTAATGAAGTTACAATCCATTGTCAGTTATTATATCAGAAACAAGAAATTTATGTAACATTTCCTACCTGTAACGATGAGGTTTTTTCACTCCTCCCGTGGATGGCGCACTTTTACGTGCAGCTTTAGTTGCAAGTTGCTTCCTGGGAGCTTTACCTCCTGTTGACTTACGTGCAGTCTGCTTAGTACGTGCCATTGTTTACTCTGAAATACTGCAAATTTGATCAGTATTATTTATAAATTGTAAATTATCCACTTTTATTTTAACAAAAATAACGGTATATGATTTAATAAATAAAAAAAATCAATGTTTATTATACAAAAAAAAACACTAAATTTTTTTTAATTACTGTAAATTTACTCGCAAATATGTTAAATTAGATGAGAATGAATTAGAAACGGTATAAATTAAAATCCGGTTTCCCTCCAAAAGCAGACACAATAAACAAAATGGCGACAAGCGTGCATGTAACATTGATATGCACAAGAGATTTGTGCATCGCGAACCATGACTTTTTCCACCATAAGAAATATTATTTGTAAATAACACGTATAAACGCGATGATGTGTGAACGATTTACTACATTCGTTTGACGATAAAACCAAAGAAATGTACCTGTTAGTCAATTGATTTGTTATAGAACTTTTGCACAACTCCTTCGTCGATATTAGACTGTCGGTTAGTGTTTTTTCAGAAACGCAGTTTGGTCCTGTAAAAGATAGGCGACAGCACCGTTCAGATACGGATCACAGGATTGGCTGTTACTTCGTAACAACGCTTGTGATTAGTCAGCCTCCGACAAATAAACGTATTTGTTATGGAATTTATAAGTTCATAATTATTTTAATAGCCTTACATGAAATATTATAATCGAAATATCTTCAATGTATAGTACCATGCATGACATATGAATCATACATTTTTCAGAAACATGTGAATATGTGTGAGACAAATGTATGTACTCATGCACGTCCCGTGTATATACGTACAACTATATTTACTAATTTGCATCTAGTGCATTGATC